CTGACTAGCGTGGTGGACATTAAAACATCCAGTCGGCCAGCCATGATTGGCAGCCTGACTGATGGCTCCACTGAGACATTCTGGGAGTCTGGGGATGAAGATAAGAACAAAACGAAGAGTATCACTATCAGCTGTGTGAAAGGCATCAATGCGTCATATGTCTCTGTCCATGTTGACAACTCTCGTGATATTGGAGTAAGCTTTTTGTCAATTTGTCTGTTCTTAGTCGACTTACTCAAACGTTTTCTTTTTAAAATTTAAAAATAATCAAATCTTTATTCTGTTTTCTTTCAGAACAAAGTCACATCAATGATATTTCTGTGTGGGAAGGCTGTGGAAGATCTCTGCAGAATAAAACAGGTCTGTTTAAACCAAATGAACTACAATCAATCATTATCCACAATATGTCCATATTGATATTGAAATTATATTGTATCGATCGAAATAGAGAAATATATCGTGATATAAAGTTTTGACATATCGTCCAGCCCTATGACGTCTATCAAATGTTGGATTTTGGTTGCCATACCTGACAAATAAATGTCAGTATTTGACATCAATATGAAGTTAATTTAAGATTTTGGCTCAACATTAGGTTTTGGTTGCTTTCTAACGCAACCTAAAATCAACAAAATATCAACGTCATTTGACGTTGTTATTGGCCATTAAAATAACATTGTCCTTAGATGCTGCCTAGACGTAGAATTTTGGTCACCTGACATCACAACCTAAATCTAACCTCACAATAACACCTCACTGTGCGTTCACACCGAAAGCGGCGAAAGTGTCAGGTCGCTCTGGCAGCCTGGCAACAACGCTGTCTGCCTTCAGCTCCGGCGGCGAGAGTGCCAAAATTCGCTACATTAATCTCGTATGTAAAGGAGCCATTAAAGCATATCATTATCAGTTACATTTCTGCATAAAACATGCTTTCTATCATGAAAATGTTGCGCACTTTTTATCAAATTCATTTAACCACAGAAGATATAACATTAATGCACATCAACTCGTCAGTAACTTTTTTAATGTATGTTCCTATAAGAAAACATTGCAAATAATTGGAAATCCAGCGACAGCAATAATCAAATCCTTGGGAACAACTGTGGTCGGAACCAAAGTTCACAGTGGCTGTGTTCTCTGGACTCCTCTCAAGCAGTGGACTCCTACATTCTGATTGCTTGACGCTGAACTGCATCATAGTTCATTACCATAAGGTTGACTTGATTTCAAATCTCCTCGACGCCCACACCGGCAATGACACGCCACGCTGCTTATCGCCGCCGGCTCCCATTGAAAACGAATGACTTCTGGCTACTTTGATGCTTTCGCCGCTTTCGGTGTGAACGTACAGTTATGATATTGTGTGCCTGCTGGACAATAACTAAATGCACTACAGAATGTTACGTTTACACACATCCACAAATTACCTGTATATGCGTTAGCTTTTTACAGCGTAATACTCACTAACCAATACTCTTGATTAGTTTTGAAGGTCTACTTTTTACTCATACTTTGAGTATTTTAAACAAATACTTTTTCTCCACTTGCACTACATTTTTAGGCAAGAAATAGTACTTTTACTTAATTATGATTTTTCTGTACTCTTTTTACCTCTGGTTAGGTAGCATCTGTATTGCATGCCTCCAAATGCCACAGGACACATAAATCAATTAATACCAGTTGCTCTGTGTCTATTTTTGGATGCACAATTTATCAGATTTTGGCTGATGGCCTGAATAAGGCTGTAGACGCTGCCAATTTAACTTGTCTGAGTTAATTTATAAATTAATAATTCTCTAGTTGCTAACCTTTTATTACACATAACAATAAATCTTTGGTTTTATTGACACCAAGCACTGATAATTACCATAACATCCTGAATAACTGCACTAATTGTTCATCAAGTGTGAATTGAGTCTTAAAAGTTATAAAAGTCATCAAGCGGTGATATTAATGTAATATTTTTTTCATCATACATCTAAACACAATTGCAAATGCAATGTTTTAAGCATGTATATTTACTTTATTCGTGTTTTTATTTAGAAAATGAGTTTATTAATAGTTCAGAATTGCCTTTATTTTTATTGTCTGTATTTTTTTGTATTTTTATTTATAATGACTGTTAACTCAATGTTTATTTTGTTCGTATGTATTTCATATCAGTTTTGTTGTCAAAAGGTTTACTAAGGCACTAAACTGCTGTGAGCAGCACAAAACAACAAATAGAGTTGTTTGCATGAAAACGTAGATCTTCAGATCAGCATCCCTAGGGCCCTGGTTATCCCTGGTTATTTGACTGAATGCCCTTTTTTTGTTGTCTCAGATTGACTTGGACTCGAGGCACATGGGCTGGGTGACTAGCGAGCTGCCCGGAGGGGACCATCATGTGATCAAGATTGAGCTTAAGGGTCCTGAGAACACGCTTAGGGTACGGCAGGTCAAAGTACTTGGCTGGAAGGAGGGGGAGAGCATCAAGATCGCTGGGCAGATATCAGCCAGTGTGGCCCAGCAGAAGAATTGTGAGGCTGAGACGCTGCGTGTCTTCCGACTCATCACATCACAGGTAAACTGTACCGAAAAAGCATCAAGAAAAGCCTAATAAGACACAAACTGCACAATGTATGCTTTTATTATTAATAGCTTGGTTTCCATCACCCTGTCTTAATGTGCATTTTAAAGTATCGCATAAGAAATGAATGATGGAAATGGTAAAATGTAAATAAAAGTCTCTTAATAGCTAAATGATTTTAAAATCACTTAAAAACAATTAATCCCTATAACGTCAGATGAAAACAGATTTGTTAAATAATCTCTGATTTAGCAAACAATACATTACATGTTTCTATTATGGTTACATTGTTTACTATTTGTTACTATGTTACCAATTATATAGTCAGCTGCTCTAAGAGCTTAATGGAATCACTAATAATTTCCTTTTTTTCTTTGTTTTCTTGCAAATTTTGAAAAGATTTACTGAAATAGAATAGAAACCTGGCTAATACTGACCACACACATCAACCTCAGATTGAACGGTTTACCAGTACTGTGAAAGTATCGCGATGGCTCCAAATAACTGGCGGTGCCACTGTAGTTTGTAAACGGTAGTATCATCATTAATAGTTTATCTACAATAAATAATGTTGCAAGTGGAAAGGCTCTAAAATGCTCACACTTTTGTGCTACTATAGACCATTTTATTTGAATAGTCTGTGAAGCCCTTAAACATTGCAAAACTGTGTAGAATTTCCACCTTTTATGGTAGCCTATTCGCTTGTTAAGTGTGACGTCACGCGGAGCGGCTTCCTGGTCCAAGCGCTCTATTCAACTGAATGGGGAGACTCATGAAATGGTAATAATAAATTTTTACAAATCGATTTAATGCTTTCGAAAATCACGATCGTAGTATATATGTCCATGCCTAATATCCGATGGCTAGAAAGTGATAAATGTTTTTATAAATTGTTAAATTTTTGGTATGTGTTATGCAGCAAGCTCAGAGATTGTTGTGTACACTATGATTTTATATAAAATTAACTTTAATGTGTGACAGGAATAAAACGCGATCATAAACGAATGATTTCTCTACTCAAATGAATGGCGGCTTGGACCCGGAAACAGTATACATACGTCACAAACATGTCACCACTTAACAAGCGGATTGCACCTTTTGTAATGCTTGAACACACATCTAAATCGGTTCATTTCTGTTTCTGTTAATATGATTCAGTAACTACAACAACCAAGACAATGTCTTTAAAAGAACGACTCACAAGGTGGTATTTTGAATTACAATGGATTGTTACCTGAGAAGACTGAAAGAAAAAAAATCGATGAAAAACCCAAAATAGCAACAGTAAACATTGAAACAATTTTTGTTTGGCCTATTTTTGTTGGAAAAAATTTGGTATAATTTGCATCTTTATTTTTTATTTTACTTTATTTGGTTTTGTTGGTCAGTTATCTACAAACAGAAACAAAAAGAATGAATAAATTTTAGGTGAAGTGATGTGCAGATAATACTTTTTGGCCTTGAGGGAATTATGAATTAGATTCAAGTAGGCCTATTATAACATAAAATATCGTATTTCTCACGATTTAATTTAGAATTTAAGTTATGAATTACAGTATCGCAATACTACTTGGTATTGTGATATTTTAGCTGGTATAGTATTGTAAGATTAACTAATGGCATCACAACAACCCTACATCAAACACTGCAGTATGAAAACACTTTTCCTCACCATATACTGTAATAGTCATTTCATGTGTTTATGTAGGTATTTGGGAAACTAATATGTGGGGATGCAGAACCAACACCAGAACAAGAAGAAAAGAACCTGCTCTCCTCACCTGAGGGTGAGGACAAGGTCAGTACCTGCATCTGATGTGCTTGTTGGCCTTTTTAGGACTGTTTGCTATAGCATTATTAAGTGCCGAAGCTTAAGAATTGTTATTAATGTTTTTGGTCAGGCTCCATCTGATGCAGACTTAAAGGAACACATGGTTGGCATTATTTTCAGCAGGAGCAAACTGACCAACCTTCAGAAACAGGTAAAGCCACTGAAATTACTCTAGGGCCTCTGGTAAACCTACACTGTAAAACATTTTGGGTTCCACACAATTGATTTGTGTTTGGGCAACATGAAGGAATTAAGTTACCTTATTGGTTTTAAAAAATGTAAGTGGATTGAACATAAAACAATTAAGTTGCCCCCACTCCCAAAAAAACTCAAGAATTGTGTTTTTTCAGCTCATTTTATATTATTAAGTAGTTTGAACAAACAGCAGAGTTTTTTGAGTGTAGTGAGCTGCCAAAAGAATCCATAGAGTTATTCATTAAATATAAAAAATGATTTTGAATAGTTTAATTAAAAATGTAATAATTTAGCCAGTGTATGTTCTTTTATTACACTGTGTTGGTTTAAAAAAAAAAACAATACTTTAAATTAGAAAAATCCACTCATTAAGGTTTGAATTAATTGCATAAACATAAAAAACATAGGCTAAATTGTCTGAAATGGATTTGCACGCTTTTACTCTTTACTATAATTCTAATAAACAGAATATACAAAGCAAATTACATTTTTATTCCATTATCCACATCCACATGTGTACAAAAGTTGTTCAATACCACAGCAACAACCCTCTCTCCAGCAGAGAACTTTGCACATCAAGTTTGCACAGGGCATAGTTTGAAGTGCCTGTGCGTAATGGCACCTCATCAATCTCATTGTGTGTAATCACTCCTTGTGTGTTGGTGCAGATATAATATAACAAAGATGACATAAAATATGTTTGTAAGGTTCAGTATTAACATTTTAACAATCAACGAAATTCACAAAATATGTAAAAACTTTGTTGGAAGGACTTCCACATAAAATTCATATTTCCTAATTTCTGTGTTTTATTTTTGTCTGATAAAGGGTATTTGTACAGTGTGACACGCATGTAGTGTTTACTTGATCTGTTACCTGTGATATTCCAGGGTGTTGATGGCAAGCTAAACCTATCCATAACTCTCTATAAACTCCCTCTCTTAAAAATACTAGAAATTCTGCACTTGACTGATTCCACACTTTACTTACCTTCTCAGGTGTGTGCCCATATTGTCCAAGCCATTCGTATGGAGGCCACACGAGTGCGGGAAGAATGGGAACATGCCATCTCCAGCAAAGAGAATGCAAACTCTCAGCCCAGCGACGATGACGCGTCTTCTGATGCTTACTGCTTTGAGTTGTTGTCTATGGTGCTGGCCTTGAGTGGATCTAATGTTGGTCGCCAGTATTTAGCCCAGCAGCTCACGCTGCTGCAGGACCTCTTTTCCCTTCTTCACACCGCCTCGCCACGTGTCCAGAGACAGGTTTGTGAACACATCATCATCATCATGAGAAAAAGTTGGAAAGATCGATCCCAATGTAGACAATATTGCTGCTGATTTTGGTATTTTATCTATGCTAGCCTATACTAGTTCACTAATCAGATGTATAGGTATTATGAAGTAATACAAATAATCTATAGTTTTATGCTTTATATATATTTTTTTTAAAAATAGCTTACATTAGCAAATAAAACACAAGGTAGGCAAAAAGGGAATATGTCTCAGACAATTTTAGAAGCTGTTGTTCATTTATTCTCACCATACTTTAGGTCTTGGTCTCTTGTCCATCCTCATAGCATCCATGTGGGATAAAAGAACAACATCTTAACTTTGTCTCTCATGAAACACAGTTGCCGTTTAATATATAGTAAATCAGACTCATTTATAGTGTAGCTGCACAAAAAAAAAACGTTATGAATGCATGCTACACTTCCGACTGTACATTGTGTTTTTTTTTTTTTCTCATAATGCACAGTTTTTCTCATAATGCAGTTTTGAGGTAAGGAATGTTTTCATTTGCCATTCACTGAAAGTCAGACAGGCTTATCCAGTTCATCAAACACCAAAGTTTAAAATCAAAAGCAGAATAATACAGTCTCCTCAGAGAGCCGGTGTATCAGCAAACTGCTACATTGAAAACATATGATTCAATTCGCGGCTTCTGATTGGTTCTCGGGATATAACGGCTTTTGCTGTCAAATGCAAGTGTACTGACGTTGAGATTTGGATGATTAGAGGCAAATCTATTTGTTGATGGTGTAGTACGTGCCTAAAGCATTCACTCAATGTCATTATCTCAATTTTGGCAGAAGTGGCGTTTAGCCGCTTTTGCATCTGAACTCTTCATATTTTTTTTATACAGACTGAGATGCCAATGATATATTTTTGTGTATTTGTTTGCAATTAGAGCATAAGTGTTGAGAGAGAAAATGTTTTGTTCTTACACTATATTGCAGGGCTATTCAATTAGTTTGTCATGAGGGCCAGTTCATGAAAAGCATCCCAAATGAGGGGCTGGAGAGATATGACTTGCAATATGAGTGATGACACAAAAGCATATAATAGCCCGTTTGTTGTATTTTTGCTCCTTAAGACACCCACGTTGTATTTTTCTACATTAAAATGTTCATAAATTGTATTTCGAAACTACATAACATCAGTGCATTGGTACAATAGGCTTTTTTACAAACATTAAAATGTGATATTTCAAAGCACAGCAAAAGCAGTGCATTGCTTAAGTAGGCTTCTTCTACATTCAGACACATTCATATGTTATGTTTTGAACTGCATAACAATTATAGAAGCAACAATTACAGGTTTTGGTTGTACGAATATATAGTCTAAAGAATAATCATGGTTTCACGGTTCTAAATGTAAATTTAAGCTTTATGTTAGCTTAGTATTTAAATGGACTGTTGTTATCATCTGCGTTCATACATACATAATCATTTTAATAATTTGTAATAATTTGTCTAACATATCTTTTGTTTACATTGCACTGAAAGCCACACTCTTACTGCTACGTGAGATGTTTTCTACTCTGTGCATCTGTAAAGCACAGTCGCATTGCTCTAATGCCCTCATATTGGCATATATTCTAACACACTTGCACACCGAAAAAATCATGCTATGTGAATGGGCCACTGCTATAGTTAATTCAGTGTGCATGCGTATTAGCCTCGGTGTATAAGCTCAGAACTTTAAACTTACGCACAGGTGGCATAACTTTGTAAGTTGCAGCAGTTTCCTTCCGTGCAAAAGAAACATGGCGTTGAGAAGCCTCTAAGCTTAAGTATCCAAATGTTTTCGACTGCTCGCGCCACTCACTCACTTAATGTCAGGTGACTCACGCTCTGCGCAGCCTTCAACTGCAGCTCGTGCTGTATTGAACAGACGTACGTCACTTCATAACTATAAAGGTCCTTTTTTAACTGAAATAAATTTATTTTTGATGTCTTGCTCACACTTATTTGAGGGCCGGAACAAATTGTCTCACGTAGATTATGCCACTTATTTTGTGGTCATTTACTTAATTGACAGGTTACACTCTTTGCAGTGCAATATTTTGGTTGGTTGCAACAAGTTTTATGCTTTGAATCAGGCAGACAGAGAGAGGGAGCGTCTCATCTGTCTCTGGATGTAAATGACTTGGGCATATGTAATAGCTCATAGTATGTGTTAGCTACCAATTTGCAAATCGAATTTTTTTGTATATTAGTGTGACGTTTGATCTTCACCAGGCTCCCTGGTGAAGCACACATCTGTGTTCTCAGATAAATGTAGGCTCTGGTTGGCTTTGTTACTACAAATATTTAGGAGAATTGCATTCATTTCGAACTGTGATTAAAACTGACTGTACCTAACTGTGCTTTTAAACAATTGTACTGCACCTCGTCCAGTCAACCAGAATCAAGAATTTCAACAGACCATGGAATAATAGCAATCGAGGAAAACAACAAGCGATTTACCATAAATAGGCATTAAAAATCATGAGAAGTGCTAGTAATACAAAGTTTCTGCCATTGTTGGAAAAATGCTAGCCTAAAAAGGGAGGAATGTTTTAAAAAGTTTGTAGTCATTATTTTTAGAAAATTTAATGTTTGCAAATTCAGTTCATACCAGTAATAAAATATGCATTTAAGAAATTACATTTGTTACACGTGACTAATTTCAGATCCTTTGAGAGTACAAATCACAAAATGTTTTTATAAAAATTATATATCATAAATCATGGCATCCTGCTTTCTCTTACAGATATGCAGGGCCGGTGCGTCCATAGAGGCGACCTAGGCGGCCGCCTAGGGCGCCAGTATAGAGAGGGCCGTGTCCGCGACACCTCCCTTACCACCCGCGTCCTCAGTTATGTCCGCGACACCTCCCTCACTACCCGCGTCCTCAGTTATGTCCGCGACACCTCCCTCACTACCCGCATCCTCAGTTATATTCGCGCATAGGTGACAGAATAGAGAGGGCGGCGTCAGCGACACCTCTATCAGCACCCGCTTGTGCTCAGTTATATCCAAGCATAGGGCTATAGAATAGAGGTCCGCGACACCCGCGCGTCCTCAGTTATATCCGCGCATAGGGCGGCAGAAAAGAGGTCCACGACACCTTACTTCATTTTTATAACCGGTCACTTTCGTTTTCACATTGGGGTTGAGGGCGGCGTGATCATCCTCTGCCTAGAGCGGGAGTTCAGCTTGCTCCGGCCCTGCAGATACAGTTGAAGTCAGAATTATTAGCCCCCTTCAATTTTTTTTCCAAATGATGTTTAACAGAGCAAGGACATTTTTAGAGTATGTCTGATTAATATTTTTTCTTCTGAAGAAAGTCTTATTTGTTTTATTTCGGCTAGAATAAAAGCAGTTTTGAATTTTATATGAACCAGTTTAGGGACAAAATTATTAGCCCCTTAGAGCTATATTTTTTCTCGATAATCCACAGAGCAAACCACTGTTACACAATAACTTGCCTAATTACCCTAACCTGCCTAGTGAACTTAATTAACCTAGTTAAGCCTTTAAATGTCATTTTATGCTGTTTAGAAGTGTCTTGAAAAATATCTAGTAAAATGTTATTTACAGTCATCATTGTAAAGATAAAAAAAATCAGTTATTAGAAATGAGTTATTAAAATGATTATGTTTAGAAATGTGTTAAAAAAAATCTCTCTGTTAAACAGAAATTGGGGAAAAAATAAACAAGCGGTCTAATAATATGGGGGGGCTAATAATTCTGACTTCAACTATGTTTATGCCTTTCATGATCCACTAATTATGGACCTTACTTTTTACAGTCAGAATCTGAGATGGAACTCTGTTTTGATTTTGCAGGTGACGTCACTGCTCAGGCGTGTTCTTCCTGAGGTCACACCCATGCGCTTGGCCAGTGTTATCGGTGTAAAGGCGCTGCCACCGGCTGACATCAGTGACATCATTCACTCTACTGAGAAGGGCGACTGGACCAAGCTCGGTATTTTAGATATGTTCCTGGGCTGCATCGCCAAGGCCCTCACTGTGCAGCTCAAGGCCAAGGGCACCACTATTGTTGGCACAGCTGGCATGGCTGCGGGCAAAGGGGTCACTACAGTCACCTTGCCCATGATCTTCAACTCAAGGTCAGCTTGCTTGCAGCGTGGCATCCCACATTCAGTTCAGATTTATTTGAAGTGCTACATTAAATTTAATTGGAAATAAACTGAAAAACTGGGATAGTTTACCTAATAATAATAGTTTTTTTTTATCATACTTTTATAAATTAACTAAATAACAGAAATTAAGACATTTTTTAAGTAATCAGAGATATTTATGAGAGCCTTTTACACCAAAACTTTGACTCAAAAAGTATATATATATATATATATATATTTTTTTTTCATCATGGCACCTCAAAATCGTTTTTTATTTTTTAATTTGGGTTTGTTTGTTGGAATAGCCAACAATATGTAAGGTGGTATTTACTGAAAAGGTTCAAGCTGTATTATTGCCAAAAGACTAAAGAAACATTATCAGCACGATCATGGTGTAAAACTGTGTGTACATATCTAGTCAAAACTGCTTTTTGCAATCTTATACTAATGGCAGTAACATGAGCTGTTAGAATAGCTAAATACGTGGGTGTGCGTTGCTATTATGTGACTATATGAACCTTTTCACAAGCCCATTATGACACGTTTAATGGTCATCAGCATCTTAAATCCTTGAAAGCTTTTAATATTCAGATTTTCTAAAAACATATGAACATTTATATGTATTTATGTATGTTCAATATCATTGAATTACTTCAAATTACAAAAAGCAAATTACTGCTTGTGCATGGAGTTTCTAATGCAGCGTCTATGGGACAGGACAGTACATTTGACATTAATCTCCCTTGTGCCTGCCGTTTTCAGTCTTGCACATTTTTTTTTCCTTTTTCTGAAAGCCTTTATTACACCATTGTGGACTTTTTCTTTTATTATTTCAGCAAATAAAATTGTAAAAAAAAACTATTTTTTGTACTCTCCCATTCACTGCGCTCTAAGTTTTCCCAACTATGACAACTTTTGCTAATGAGAAACCCGGAATGTGAAAAGGGTCAATTGTATTGCAATATAGGCAACAATATTTTTAATTGAATTTACTTTTATACTAAAAATCATTAGAATATTAATTAAAGTTCATGTTGCATGAAGATCGTTAGCCAAATTCCCTCCATAAATATATGAAAACTTAACAAAGCGTTGCTAAGAATGTAATTTGGGCAACTTTACAGGTGATCTTTCTCATAATTAGATTTTTTTAAGACCCAGATTCTAAATTTTCAAATAGTTGTATCTTGATCAAATATGGTCCTATCCTAACTAACCATATATCAATGTAAATAACAATGTCTTCAGCAGTATACACTAACTGTCTTTTGTCTGTGTCCATGCAGTTATATACGACGCGGAGAAAGTCATTGGTGGATGAAGGGCTCTACTCCACCTCAGATTGCTGAAATTATCATTAAACTAGTCAAAGACATGGCTGCTGTAAGTAATAATGGCCCAACACTTTTTGAATTCCCCTTATGTCTTAAAATACAGCAATTTTGTTGTAAAGTTTCATGTTTGACTGCTTAAGGGTATAGTTCCCAGAACTGAAAATGAATTCATCATTTACTCCCACGTTGAACACAAAATAAGTTATTTTGAAAAATGTTAGAATCCTGTAACCATTGGCTACCATAATATTTGTTTTTCCTTCCATTGAAGTCAATGGTTTCTAACATTGTTCAAAATAAGAATTCAACTGAAAAAGGAAACTTATAAAGATTTGGAACCACTTGAGTGTGAGTGAATGGTGAATACATTTTCTAACCAAGTAAACTATCTCTTTAACCTGATCTCCAAAACAGTCCCACTTCATTGAAGTGTTTTTTTTTTTTTTTTTTTTTTTTTTTTTTTTACCCCAGGGACACCTCTCAGATGCCTGGTCCAGGGTGACTAAGAATGCCATTGCAGAGACCATCATTGCACTCACAAAGATGGAAGAGGAACATCGCTCTCCAGTTCGCTGCATTGCCACTACACGGGTACGACTGCACCACACTCTGCACACTTTTTCTGTCATTACTGAATATTTGCCAAGTAGGTCAGTATTACTCAGAATTCTTCAGGTAGAGGGATTATAGGTGTTAAGGCAGGTGGAGTTTATTAGTGTTTATGATCTTTTACCCAGAGCCTAACAGCAGCATGAAAAGCAACATTGTTAAAATCAAATCACTTGATATCTTTTATTATGCAGTCATGGAAACATGCAAATACAGTGGTCCCTCGCTATAACACGGTTCTCCTTTAGCGGCCTCGCAGTTTTGCAGATTTTTTTTTTTTGACATGCTTTTTGTTTTTTTTGCAGCACATTGTGTTCTATGCTCTGATTGGCTGAACCATTGTCAGTCAATCTCCTGTGTCTCATGTGTGCTGTGTTTCCTGTACAGTACAGAATGCGTTCAGCTTGCTAAACTTACATGAATCTTCGATCGCTAACAGTGTGACTTAAATGCTTTATTTTTGCAAGGTTTCTCCCCAACAAACCTCATAATGTCGACGAAACATACTGTACCATCAAAGGCACTCACGTCACGATAGCACTCAAAGGCAGAGGAAGATGCTTACCATTGCACAAAAAGTTGAACTTCAGGACATGCTAAAGGAAGGTAGAAGTTACGCGAGTGTTTAAACGAGAGAAAAGTATAACATTTTTATGTCTATCTGAAAAAAATTGTGTAGTGAGGGGGTTTACAGACTTCGATTTTTACAATTTTTTACAGTCTTTAATTCATTCATTCATTTTCTTTTCGGCTTAGTCCCTTTATTAATCTAGGGTTGCCACAGCGGAATGAACCGTTAACTTATCCAGCATATGTTTTATGCAGCGATGCCCTTCCAGCTGCAACCCATCTCTGGGAAACAACCATTTACACTTAGTGGTGTCCTTTAGATAAGCTAGCACCAGTCTTTCGAATAACATCTGTGGTATAATTCGAAACATGATATAATTCACACCCATCCACATTACTCCTAAGCCGCCACACACTCCAACACTGGTTACCTTTCGCAGAAACCTACGATCTCTCTCACCCAATAGACTATCCACCATTGTTTCAGACTCTCTTCCTCCATCCCGCAAACTCACTGCACTTGATTCGAACAGTGCCACTAATACACTCTGCTCCACACTAGCATCATGTCTGGACCGATTATGTCCTCTTGCATCCAGGCCAGCCCGTGCCAGTCCTCCTGCACCCTGGCTCTCGGATGCTCTCCGTGAGCATCGCTCAAAACTTCGGGCTGCAGAGAGAATTTGGCGGAAAACTAAAAATCCTGCACAGCTCTTAACATACCAAACTCTTCTGTCCTCTTTCTCAGCTGAGGTTACTTCTGCAAAGCAGACATATTACCGTCTGAAAATCAACAATGCCACTAATCCTCGCCTACTTTTTAAAACATTTTCCTCCCTCCTCTATCCTCCTCCTCCCCCCGCATCCTCCACACTTACTACTGATGACTTTGCTACATTCTTTTGCACCAAAACTGCAAAAATCAGTGCTCAATTTGCTGCACCTACAACAAACACGCAAGATACAACACCAACACCACACACACCTCTTTTTCTCAGCTCTCTGAGTCTGAGGTGTCCAAACTCGTGCTATCTAGCCATGCAACCACCTGTCCACTTGATCCCATTCCCTCTCATCTCTTGCAAGCCATCTCTCCTGCAGTCATACCAACACTGACTCACATAATTAACACATCTCTTGACTCTGGTTTATTCCCCACTTCATTTAAGCAGGCTAGGGTAACCCCACTGCTAAAGAAACCCAACCTGGACCATACGCTACTTGAAAACTACAGACCAGTATCCCTGCTTCCATTCATGGCCAAGATTCTGGAGAAAGTAGTGTTCAATCAAGTTCTGGACTTTCTTACTCAAAACAATCTCATGGACAACAAGCAATCCGGCTTTAAGAAAGGCCACTCAACTGAGACTGCCCTGCTCTCGGTCGTGAAGGATCTCAGACTGGCTAAAGCAGACTCTAAATCATCAGTCCTCATTTTGCTGGACTTGTCAGCTGCTTTTGACACTGTCAACCACCAGATCTTGCTATCTACGCTCGAGTCACTGGGCGTTGCGGGCACTGTTATACAATGGTTCAGATCTTACCTCTCTGACAGGTCATTCAGGGTGTCTTGGAGGGGAGAGGTGTCCAACCTACAGCATCTAAACACTGGGGTACCTCAAGGCTCTGTTCTTGTGCCACTTCTCTTCTCCATCTACACATCATCTCTAGGACCAGTCATCCAGAGACATGGATTCTCCTACCACTGCTATGCTGATGATACCCAGCTATACCTTTCTTTTCATCCTGATGATCCCTGGGTTCCAGCTCGTATCTCAGCCTGCCTGTTGGATATTTCACACTGGATGAAAGATCATCATCTTCAGCTGAACCTCGCAAAAACGGAAATGCTTGTAGTTTCTGCCAACTCGACTCTACACCATAACTTTTCAATCCAGATGGATGGGGCAACCATTACTGCATCCAAAATGGTGAAAAGCCTTGGAGTAACGATTGATGACCAACTAAACTTCTCTGACCACATTTCTAGAACTGCTCGATTGTGCAGATTTGCACTCTATAACATCAGAAAGATCCGACCCTTCTTATCTGAACATGCAGCTCAACTCCTTGTTCAAGCTCTTGTTCTCTCCAAACTGGATTACTGCAACTCTCTACTAGCTGGGCTTCCAGCTAACTCTATCAAGCCTCTTCAACTGCTCCAGAATGCAGCAGCACGAGTTGTCTTCAATGAACCTAAACGAGCACATGTCACCCCGCTGCTAGTCCGTTTGCACTGGCTGCCAGTTGCTGCTCGCATCAAATTCAAAGCTCTGATGTTTGCCTACAAAGTGACTTCTGGCCTTGCTCCTTCTTATCTGCTCTCACTTCTGCAGATCTATGTGCCCTCCAGAAACTTGCGTTCTGTGAATGAACGTCGCCTCGTGGTTCCATGCCAAAGAGGGAAGAAATCACTTTCGCGAACGCTCACGCTCAATCTGCCCAGTTGGTGGAATGAACTCCCTAACTGCATCAGAACAGCAGAGTCACTCGCTACTTTCAAGAAACGACTAAACTCAACTATTTAGTCTCCACTTCACTTCCTAATCTGCAATTGCCTCTTTGAATATCACACTAACTGTACAAAAAAAATAAAAATACTAATACTACTAATACTTCCCCTTCTTAGACTTTACAGACCTGAAACTTGCCTATAGCACTTATTCATTGTTGCTCTTAGTTGTGTAAATTGCTTCCTTGTCCTCATTTGTAAGTCGCTTTGGATAAAAGTGTCTGCTAAATGACTAAATGTAAATGTAAATGTAATTCAAAAGACTGGTGCTAGCTTATCTGAAGGATATTACTGGACCCCTGCTGGACCCTCCAGCAGTTTGCCTATAGAGCAAACCGGTCTGTGGATGATGCAATCAACATGGAACTGCATTATATCCTACAACATCTGGACAAACCAGGGAACGAGTACAAACTGACTGAGTATTACACGTCAGGATCGCATTTATGTAAGGTTAATATGAGCATGCCAATCTCTGCTTGCGCGCCAATTTCCTCTGCTTGTGCACAAAACTTCTTGCACTCCCTCAAACGCTATCAAGCGCAGATCTTCTGGTGTGCTCTCAAATAAACCCTGTTGAAGTGCGATTTATTGCATTTATGTACTGAGTATGTCTCCAACATTTATTAGATTTGCTAGGAATATTTCTGAATGTCTCCAATAGCCCTAGAGAGCGGGATTAATGTGTCCTGAAGTAAAGTGAAATGGCAGTAAACTCCAGCAAGATAACATTAAAATCTTTGTATGCAGAATCACACACCTTTTTCTATAAACAAACAAACAAATAGCGCACAGCCCTACTACGGTAACAGAAAGGTTTCCGCTGTTATAATTCACTTACCTTTTAATGCGTTCGGTGTGATTATAACCCACCATTAAAAACAACAATGAATGCATGTTTTAAATTAATAAGAAGTTGTAATGTAGCCGTGGCGGGATGAATTTTGGTGTGGCGCCCCGCCATGGAAGAATGAATGTATCGGAAACCATGCTGTTCCTAGCTCAGTCTGTCAATGGATCACCAGCTTTTTGACAGATAGACAACAGCTAGTCAGAATGGGCAAAATCACATCCGACAGCTGCACCATCTGCACTGGTGTCCCCCAGGGATGCGTTCTCTCCCCACTGCTCTTCTCCCTGTACACCAATGACTGCACCACAAAAGACCCCTCCATCAAACTCATTTAGTTTGCAGTTGACGCTACTGTTATCTGCCTCATCCACAATGGTGACGAGTCTGCATTCAGACAGGAGGTGGAGCTGGGAGGTGGAGCTTTTCCCAATTTCCCAATTTAACCGTTTACCGAAAGAGTGCGTTTGTTAGCGATTAATGCTATCAGTTAAACGATTAAAAATATTATTTTATATGTTTTTAGTTTGGCTGCATAAGGGGCCCATTGAATGTGCTTTTGCGTTAAGAGGGGCATCTTTTGCACGTGGCTCATCCCAGAGCAGCAGTTTGTGTTGTCAAGACAACTACAGAGAACTTTTAAAGAGCATGGTTTCCACTACATTCATTCTTCCATGGCAGGGACCAAAATGCATCCCGCCACGGCTACATTACCCATTCAAAACATTCAGTTATTGTTGTTGTTTTTAATAGCAGATTATAATCGCACCAAAACGTATTAAATGGTAAGTGGATTATAACAGCGCAAACTTTTTTGTAAGTGCTGTGCTGTTTAATCCTTTGGGGTTACGTGCTGACTGACTGACTCACTCTGTCTTGCTGGAGTTTGTAGCCGTTTCGTTTTACTTCAGGACGCATTATTGCCGCTCTGAAGGTCTAATCGCTGTTTCAAGTTATCCAGAGCTGTATGAATGTACAAATCTTGAATATCATAATATTATTAAATATTACAATTTTATCAACATATACAGCAACACTTTTGAACAATCGATACCCAGCTGATTCAGTCGTTTCATAAGAGGACCGCGCTTCTTCTCTTCTTTTTTCCTTGTCAACATAAAGGCAGTGAGGTGCGCTTCACATTATTGGAATGGAAAAGCACGTTAGCTGTGGTCGGCCACTTGTTCAACTGCAAGACAAACTTAACTTGCGGGACAATAACGTATAACCTGAGCCTACAGACACATTTGCCAAAGAAGCAAAATGGAAGAAGAATATTGCTTGAAACAGACGTGTTGATGCCAAAAAAAGCGCTGATGTTGACCTGGATTTGCATCATAAACGCAACAAATAGGCTTTACCTTATATTTTACAGCTTATAAAGCATGTATGCACATAAATGCAATATCATATTTAAACAACAAAACTGTTTACAAAAAGTCAACGTATGCGCGCGTTGTCTTTTCATCACGCAGCGCGCGCACTTGAACCGCGATGGAGAGAAAGGAAACCATCAAGACATAATCTTTAAAATAATGATTTCTATTAAAAATGTAAAAGGTTTTGTGATTATAATAATACAAGCGGGGCATTAAATAAATGCATATTTTCCGTGGAGCGAGCGATTTGAGGAAGTCTGCTATTTTATTTGACGGAAGAAAAAACATGATTGGAAAAAAACAGCCTATGCCGGTTATTAAAAATAATCAGTCAGTGTTTTCGATTTGTAATATAAATTAATTATTTAAGTGGAAAATAATTTAGGGCAGTCCTATTTATTTTATTCATTTTATTGAGTTTATTCTGTTCTTCTGTGCTAAACACTGCAGGTGTGTGAAAATGCTCTGTTGTTATGTTCTGTTATTAATATGCTAGCATATACAAATAAATCAGTATTTTATCCAATATTTAATGTGTCAGACACAAAATAGACACGTCAATTTGTTTAATATAAAATTAATAGTAATCTGACCAGTTAACCGTTAATAACCGATAAATGAGTGGCGGTTGTCGGTTAGCAAAATTAACCAAAATGAGCATGCCTAATACAGACAGGAGGAGGAGCATGGGGGTGGAGCTTTCCCAATTCCCCTGTACCACATGTCTTTGGACTGTGGGGGAAACCAAAGCACCTGGAGGAAACCCACACGAACACAAGGAGAACATGCAAACTTCACACAGAAACGGCAACTCACCCAGCCGAGGCTTGAACTATCGACTTTCTTGCTGTGAGGCGACAACACTACCTACTGCGCCACTGCGTCGCCTTCTACAGTATAATAATTGTATTAAATAAAGCTGACTAATTTGCGGATTTTACCTATTGCGGGCTATTTTTAGAACATAACCCCTGCGATTAACAAGGGACCACTGTATTACCTTTGTATCTTTCCGTTTAAAAAACAAACAAACAAAAAAAAATTTGGCTGTTTCAGTTTGCCTACCCGTACTGTGCCCTAAAATAACTTTCTAAAGAAGTAAGAAGTAGTACATACTTTTAGTTTTGCAACAGAAAAATATGCAAGCTTGTGGGACAAACTACTTTGCTTAACAGACTGTTCTGTTGCTTAGTTGTGTGTCCTGACAGCTTTAAAGGCCATTCACATATCATGTTTAAAAGAGTGTGGAAAATGCAAGGTGGGCTGCTGCTTCTATCAATTTCATTGCGCTGACAAACCCTTGCTTTAGCTATGATACAATTTTTTTTTTTTTTTGTCTAATGTAATTATTCTATCGCTATTACTGAAATGACAATATATATATAATATATTCGAAGAGTTAAGTTAATTGGCTGGTTCTTATCACATGACATGCGGTGCACTTGTGGCATTTTGAAAAGTTGAGATGTTACCAACTTACTACAGTGTAGATGCACCTAGAAAAAGCAAGCGCATGTGGGTCACTTTCTGTTTCTGTGCATCTCCATTTAAAAAAACAGACCTGAGATCACAAAACGTCCACTTATGCACACATTACTTTCGTGATTTCTTACCATATTGGGTTAAAATAGCAGGTTGACTTGCCATCCACTGGTTTTTCATTCAGAAATCCTCATGTTTGCATAATTGTGCATTCAATTAATGACCAAAAGGATCTTTATAAAATTTACAAGGGGGTTACTGATGAAATATAATGCATGATATATATATTTTTATCAGGTTCTTTATTAACTATTAATGATCAAGGTTCTTTTAGCTCTCTGCTTAACGGTTTATCTTGAACACTTTTTGCTCATGTTTGTAGTTGTAATCAAGTTTGTGGCCCTCCTCTGGTAACATGCTAGATCTGTTACCCTGATCTGTTCCGGGACCTTGCAATTTACCTATTAGGCACTGCCTCAAATAGTAGTCCATCTGGGTTACTTCAGAATACCCATTTAAACGTACAATGGTTTAGCACATGCAAATATTAGAAATAAAAATCTCAAAAGAAAAAAAGGAAAAATTTATAAAAATTGAATTTACAAAATGTGTAGAAACTTTGTGTGGAGGACTTCGAAATAAATTTCCTATTATTCTACCTCTCTTTCAGCTGTGGCTTGCATTGGCCTCTCTGTGTGTTCTGGATCAGGACCACGTGGACCGACTGTCTTCTGGTCGCTGGATGGGCAAAGATGGGCAGCAGAAGCAGATGGTATAGCAGTGATTCTAATAGAGCTTGGGGCACAGTCAGTGCAATAGCACATTACACTTTTTCTTACAGTAATGAGTACTTTACCTCTTTACCCTGACTTTTATTTCCAGCCTATGTGTGATAACCATGACGACGGCGAGACGGCAGCCATCATTCTGTGTAATGCATGTGGAAATCTGTGCACTGATTGTGACCGCTTCCTCCATCTCCACCGGCGCACACGTACCCATCAGAGACAGGTGAACTTGAATGCTCAAATCCATCTAAACAGTGTTATATGCGTCAATTATTGTAGATATTTAAGGTTCAAATCTGAGAATTGTGACATCGGATTGGTAATGATTTACATTGTTGATGTTTTAAATACAGGATGATATTGTTGATTCAGTTGTTATAGGGAGTCATTTTTGCCATCTGAAATAGGATCATTAAATGTCTTATGACTTATGTGCAGGTTTTCAAAGAGGAGGAGGAGGCCATTAAAGTGGACCTACATGAAGGCTGTGGTAGAACCAAACTCTTTTGGCTCATGGCATTGGCAGATTCCAAGACCATGAAGGCCATGGTGGAGTTCCGTGAACACACAGGTGAACTTCTCACCTGCTAATAATTTTACAATTGTAAATGTTACAAACAAACTGAAATTAAAATTTGCATGTAAAAAACACTTCATTATTATTGTCATCCTCATGCAAATCAGCTTTCACACCAGACATGGAAAGCTCTGTGATATGAAACCCATTCATTTCAATGGCTTGCTCCATGCAAAGCCTGTTTGTAGCTGCGCTGACCAAATCTCAAGCTTACCCTCACCTAGCTGAGACACTTCGTAATTAATACTGTTTATTATTTGTAGTCATTTCCACAAATACAGCAAATTAATCCGAAGTTCTAAAACAATCACAGAAAACAGCTTACTTTTTTTGCATTGCAGAATAAGGTCAATACTTGTTCCCGCTGCTTGCAATAGTGATTTTGTACTGTCATGGGAACACTAATAAAATTAAGTGTAAAATAAATTTAGGCCCAAATCTTTTTTTTTTTTTTTTTTATCCCTTCCCCCTCTCCTTTCCCTTGAAGCAGAGAATGAAGGGAAAGGGCTTCAAATTTTACCCCTAAGAAATGGGACAGCACTACAACACCTGCACACGTAATCATATGTCATCGCAATCTCTTGCTTCATATGAGATTGACGATCACGACTGCTGTAGTTATTCCAGTTTTTTTTTTTTTTTTTTTGGTATTTATCTTCAAGAAATCACTGAAGGCATATACTGTATTATGTTATCATAATGACATAATGTGGCATTAACATTATACCTGACACTGTCAAAGGCCATTCCCAGCCACTAGACTTTTCTGAAGTGGTATTCGAGTGTCATTGAGTGTCAGAATGTTGTGGAACTACTATACAGAAGTTATTATTAGAGATTATAGATAGAGAAATTTAGCGTTTTTTTTTACCGTTTGTTGTTTTTTATTTTATTTTATTTTTTTTAAAGCATGATGGTAAAACACAAATGCGGTTATGATTGTATTAAAACATATGTTTGTTTGTTGTAAAAATTCGTTATAAGGACAAAAAATACTAATTTGTGCATTTCTGCATATCCGGCAGCCATTTTGCCGTTGCAGATAGTGTATTCTTAATGGTGAAAATTTTCTTACTCCTTGGTTGCGAGTGTGCACCTGAAAAATGTATTTTTCAAGATCTATCTAGCCCTTCCCCTTAGCCCTACACCTTCAAGCTAAAGAAAATTGGGACAACCAAAGGGAAGAGCTAAGGGGTAGAAGATTAGATTGGGCCTTACTGACAGGTCACTACAGTCTCTAGAAAAGGACTAAATTCCTCACTACATAAGCTTAGAAGTGTTTCGAATTGTTGTTTTTTTTGTTTTTTAAATGTTAAATAACAAGTAAAAATAGAGCTATTCACAACAAAGGCCCTTTTTCCTCACCATATAAACAATTTCTGGAGTATTTTTGTCCTGAGTTTTGAATATTTTGTGCTCCTGACCGCTAACCCCCAGGTCACATCTACAGTATGATGCATCTTACTTACAGAATTATATTTTATTAAAAGATTAGAGGCTACATATTGTACTGCTAGTTCTAACTCTTTTGTATTGTGCTTCAGGTAAACCAGCTTCCAGCAGTTCAGACGCCTGCCGCTTCTGTGGCACTAGGCACGGCACAGAACTGTCTGCAGTGGGAAGTGTATGTTCAGACCAAGACTGTCAGGTATGCACTCAAGATGGGTTCTTTTTGTTTTGTTTTAAACTGGAAATTAGTGATCTCAGACACAATGGTTTTGTTACTTCTTGTTTGTAGGAGTACGCAAAACTGGCCTGCAGTAAGACTCATCCATGTGGTCACCCATGTGGAGGGGTCAAAAATGAGGATCTGTGTCTTCCCTGTCTGCATGGTTGTGACAAAACCGCAACCTGTTTGAAACAGGACGCTGATGATATGTGCATGATTTGCTTCACTGAGGCTCTGTCTGCTGCCCCAGCAATCCAGGTACAGATGATTAATGCGATGGCATATAGAGCAAATAAAAATACATTTTAATATCATTAATATCTTTTATTTTAGTAAATGAAACCTAAAGTTTTATTAGTAAAATAATAAAAGTATAATAATAATAATAAATTAGAAATTTAAACCCTTAGTCACCGAAAATGTTAACTGAAATAAAATGAAATGATTTTACAATAAATGAAAATTTACAACTAAATTAAACCAGTAATAGTGAGTGCAAACAACTGAAATAAAATGATACCAAAAATGAATAAATTCATTGGCCGAATTCATGGTGAAAAATCTGACCAGCTGCTGTTTAGAGAAGTAAATGGCACTTTTACAACCAAACATGTTATATACAGAAACATCTTTTCTATACAAACATCAAACATGTACTCTCTCTTTTCTTAATCTGCCAAAAAAATATAAATAAGGTATGTTAAACTATACATAATGATCTTAAATATGAAGATTTTTTTTATTACTTGTTTTAAAATTATATATTTTATTATATAATTTATGTATTCAATTATACATTATATGTACACAATAAAATTTTTATTACTAAAACGCTTTCACAAGAGGTAACACTAAACTTTACTTTAGTCAACACTAAATGTTTATACCTGAATCCCTAATATGTTAACTAAATATATAGAAATACTAAACAGAAATGTGTTTCTAATAAAAAAAACTTTTAAAAAAACCTAAATTTGCTAAATTATTAATGAAACCAACTAAATCTAAACTGAAATTTGCAGCAAATTTAAAAATAGTATCAAAACAAAAACAAATTTAAAAATGCAAAACTATAATAACCTTAAAATGGAACTGCAAGGATAATAGACATTGATGTGGAATTTTCTGTCTCGGCTTATTTACAGCTGGACTGCAGTCACGTTTTTCATCTTCAGTGCACAAGAAGAGTTCTGGAGAACCGCTGGCTTGGACCCAGGATAACCTTCGGGTTTATGTCTTGCCCTATTTGTAAGGTAAGTAAGCTAGGCTGAACTCGCAGTGAGGGCATTTTAATAAAAGCAAATGGCTTAGTGAGAATTGCTTTTAATGTGGTTTAATCAAATATGTTTACTGCATGTTTCAAAAATGAATTGTGGTTTCTGAGCAGTCCATGATTTTGTTTTCAGTGTCTAAAGTGCTTCGAGTTCAGAGTAATTGCTAGTTTGGTTAGTTCGTAAATACAATCAAAACAATGGAAATTAAAGATGCCACCGAAAAAATCCTAAGAATTTTTATATTGGTCATTTATAAACTGACTGGAGTTATCAAAAAAGTTTAAAGGGATAGTTCACCCAAATATTATTTGACTATTTACTCAAGTAGCTCCCTACCTTTGCACAGTGTCCTAACTACACATGATTCCAATGACAAGCAATTTGTTTGTCCATACCAAACACTCATTTAAATATTATCCCCTGCACTCCCAATGAAATGGTAGTTTTTAATTCAATTATTACATATTAAACCTCTTTAACATTTTGTAAACACTACTTAGTGACTGACTTTCATTTTCAAACCGTTTGATGATGCTGCATTTAGTAGTATGGCAATAAAAGTCAGGTAAAATGGTTATCAAACTTGCATTGCTAGCTTTTAATGCTTAATGTAGCACATAATTAGTACCTGAGGCGATCATTGTCAGAGTAATTTATGCTTTCGTTGCGAAGTTGCTGAAATTGAAACTTTGTTTCTAAAATAGAAATGTCATGCGTCGCAGATGCTTAGGACAAAAACTCCTTTTAACATGGAAGAGGTGCCGTGTGTTGTAGCGCATGTTGGTAGGACACTGTTAACAGTATAGTAAATGTTATAGTAATAGTGAGCTTGTGCGATGTTTAGGAAATATGTGATATGCGATAGCATGCTAAATAATGTGATAAACAACAAGTTTCAAATTATTTCAGGGATATATGAATTATTACTTAAGCTTCTGAAAGTGAACAGCCATGTTTTAATGTTGCATGAAACTAATCAGACATTGAATCACACTATGCACTTATCCACTATGCACTTAGACACTTTAACAGCACAGTATATGTATGTAGCATTGTGTGAAATGGAACACTAACATTTTTTTAACTTAGCAGAATGCCAATTCCCAGATGCTGTTTGACGGTTGCCAAATTTGTGAAATAAATAACCAACCTCCCAAATAATACCTTCCATGACTATAACCGCATTCACCATCGGGAGGTGCTATAATCACTCTCGTAGGAGAATACTGCTTTAACAATTCAAAATAAATAGTGCTCGAAAGCTCCACCCCTTTTGCTACGTGAACAAAGTAGCGGTCGTTGTGTGTGTGAAGTGTCCAAAATTCCACACTCCATTTTATCGGTTGAATAAGTGCATCATACGGGAGTATTTAACGTGCACTAGAGTTTTCAGTGGGAACACACTACTTTTAGGATGCACCTGGTGTAAATCAGGCACGGACAGTCTTGATCCGGATGGGCCAATGTCTGTATAGTTTTGCTCCAACCCTAATCTAACATACCTGCCTGTAGCTTTCTAGTCATCTTGAAGACTAATTAGTTTGTTCAGGTATGTTTGATCAGTGTTAGAGCAAAACTCTGCAGGGACACCGGTGTAAACAAACAAAATGGATATCATTTTGGTATAGTTGCATTCACCTGAAAACATCAAGACGAGTTTTTTGCTGTCCTGTTGGTTTCTCATCATGGCTTGAATGGTCATATTTCAGCTCCCATACAAAAATACTATTGCTAAAACAGTTGTTTGGACAAGAAAACCAACATGTCCGCTTTGCTTGTTTTCAGATATAAGCATTAACATGCAACTACATGTAGCTCAATATTGTTAATGTGCTGAAAAACCTTTGTATTAAATCACTCATTCATTATGCACAATTGCAATATTTTCGAGAATTTGCATATATTGTAGTACCCTAAGTAATACTATAAAAATTTGTATTGCTTTGTCTACTCTTTAATACCTAACAAATACATTTATATTTAAATAAAAAATGTACTTAGAACCACAGCAGACCTCTTTAAAAGTTGTATTTTATTATTAATAAAATTATTTTAGCAGAATTTATTGTATTTTTACCAATGAGCAATTCTTTACAGTCTTATGCAAAAATTTGGGCACCCCTCTGTGGCTGCATAATAGTGTGCTCTTTCTTTGTAAAAGAATACCACAATGATATGCCATTCGGTTTCTAAAGAAATCTAGATAATGTCATGTTTTTCAGACAGAAATACTTAGTGTAGCAGCATTGAGATGTGTGAAATTAAATTGAAACTGAAAAATAGTGTATGCAAAAGTTTGGGCACTCCCTCTTTTTTTGTGGATTTCAAAGCCTGTAGTCACTTGATGCTTATTGATTACAACACAAAATTGATTTGAGTGACTCAGTGAACCTTAACAATCCTAACACAGATGCAGCCAATCATGAAAAGGAATATTTAAGATAGCATATTTCTAGTTGTGCTTCTCCTTATTGTCAACCTGAAAGTAGCAACATTGGAACCTCAAAAAGAATTTCCTAATGACCTAAGAACTAGGATAATCGACCAACGTGAATTAAGAGAAGGATATAAAAAGCTATCACAAAGGTTTAAAGTCTCTGTCTACACAGTCAAAAATATAGTGAGAAAATGGAAGGCTGCAGGGACAGTTCTTGTGAAGGAAAAATGTGCTAGACTAAGAAAAATATCTGAAAGGCAAAGGCGAAGAATGGTTAGAATGGTCACAGAGAGAACACAGACCACTCCAAAAAGCTCTAGGTATATCTTGCTGCTGCTGATGTTATTGTACATTGATCCACATTCGGGGCATTCCCCACAAAGAATCAATCAATGGAAGGTGATGCAGAAGAAGCCTTTTCTGAATTCCGCCAATAAGAAGATGGTTTGAGGTATGCAAAGGCTCATCTTGACAAGTCTGAATCAATTTGGAAAAATATACTGTGGACAGATACCAAAACCATAGACGCTTTCCATGGTGAAAAAACAGCATTCCAGTAGAGGAACATGCTCCTTACTGTAAAATGTGGTGAGGGCTCCATCATTCTGTGGGAATGTGTGGCAAGCACAGGTACTTTAAACCTTGTCAGAGTTGAAGGCCGCATGGATTCCACCCACTATAAGCAGATTCAGGAGGCTGAAGTTCTGACAGGGTTTGATGTTTTGGCAGGAAGTTGACCCAAAACACAGTTCCAGATCTACCAAGGAACTCATGCTCAGACACGATACAATGTTCTAGAACGGCTCTCTCAGTCACCAGACTTGAACATCATCAAAAATCTCAGGATTGATTAAAAAGGGTCGTTCACGCTTGGCATCCATCAAACCTGACTGAACTGGAGAAATTGTGCAAGGAAAAAGGCCCAAAATGCCTTCAGCAAGAATTCAGACACTTATATTTGATTATAAGAAGCGTCTACACGCTGTTATTTTAGCAAAAGGTGGCTCTACAAAGAATTAATGTCATTATTCTGTTGGGGTGCCCACATTTTTGCACCTGTCTGTTTTTGTTATAACTTAAATTGCATTGTATCTGTTGATTAATTAATGTTATATCAGAACGTAAATGTTGATTTTTCCCTAGGGGATAAAGTATATGCAAATGAATTTGCAGATTACAATGGCCAGCAGGCTATGGCTTTGGTAATTATAGTAGTAATATAGTCGTCATTTAAAAAGTAAACAATCTGTCTTTCAAAACGTTGACTTCCTTCCATAAAAAGGTTGATTTTAAAGAATGTTTCAGTGACTAAATTAAATATTTTTAAATTTAGTTCATGTGTTTCTTTAATGTCAGCATGTAATGAAAATTAAGCTGGATTCATAGTTCATATTATTGGCCTTTCAAACAATTGACCCATGTTAGTTTTTTTAAACAACATTACAATGCTGTTATTAATCAAAATCAACATGTTCTGCGCAAACCAAATGCAGTTTTAACCTGATTATTTAACCTGTTTATGATATTTAACATATAACACACATATGTTTTCTTTCCAGAACAAAATAAACCATTTGGTTTTAAAAGACTTGCTGGACCCCATTAAAGAGCTGTACGAAGATGTGAGGAGAAAGGCTTTAATGAGACTGGAGTATGAAGGCCTACACAAGAGTGAAGCCATCACAATGTCTGGAGCTCGATTCTTCAACAACCCTGCAGGATTTGCCATGAATAGATATGCATACTACGTCTGCTTCAAATGCAAAAAGGTTAGATTCTCATTTCAATTTTTTGAAAGTTAAAGTTCTGTTGTGCTTATTCAGAGATCTCCAGTGGAACATAAAAGGAAATGAAGGAAGCTTTCAGAAAGAAAATAATTGGGTTTGAGTGAACTGTCCCTGTAAGGATGTCTCTGTTTCTATGAATAGAATGGAAAAACACGGGTGACAAAAGAGATTAAACGCAGCTCTCTGTTGTGGAGGAAGAGCTGTTTTGCTCAGCATGTTGGCATGAAATGAGATTTAGAAGAACAAGGGTCTAGTAATCTGTTTAGATGACATATTGCCATAATGAAGCCGTTTCTCCAGCTGTTGTGCTAACAGACTTCTGACTCATACAGGCCTATTTCGGGGGAGAAGCTCGCTGTGATGCCGAGGCAGGACAAGGCGATGATTATGATCCCCGTGAACTCATCTGTGGAGCCTGTTCTGATGTGTCTAGGGCACAGGTCAGTGGGACTTGAAAATAAAAAACTGCTTGTTTTGCTTATGGTTCTAGATTAATCATATTAGAGTGATGCAGAAATGAGGCATAAAATATAGAAACTAGCTTTAAATAAATAGATTTATGTATTTATTAATAAATTAAATGAACAAAAAAAGAAACGAATCAAGCACTGGTTCCATCCCATGTGTTCAAGAGTACAAAATGAATGAATGAACAAGTGAAATGAAATAAAACAAGCACTGGTTCCATTCCATGTGTTCAAGAGTATGAAATAAATAAATGAATGAAATTAAATGAATGAGTGAACAAACAAAATGAATGAACCAACATGCGAACAAAACGAAAAATGAATGAATGAACAAGTGAAATGAAATAAAAAAAGGACTGGTTCCATCCCATGTGTTCAAGAGTACAATATTAATAAATGAACGAACAAACTAAAAATGAACCAAGCACTGGTTTCATCCCATGTGTTGAACAGTATTAAATTGATAAATGAATGAATGAGTGAAATTAAATTAGGTGAAACAAAACAAGCACTGGTTCCATCCCTTGTGTTCAAGAGTACAAAATTGATGAATGAACTAAATGGATTATTGAACAAAACTAGCACTGGTTCCGTTCCATGTGTTCAAGAGTACAAAATTTGCTTAAACAAACTAATTAAATTAAGACAAACGAACCTAGCACTGGTTCCATCCCCTGTGTTCAACAATACAAAATTGATGAATAAAATAACGAAATTAAATTAAATTAAATGAAACGGAAAAGGCACTGATTCTATCCTATGTGTTCAACAGTACAAAACTGATGAATAATTTAAATTAATAAATGAACAGATGAACGAAACAAGGACTAGTTTCATTCCATGTGTTCAAGAGTACAAAATTGCTCAATGAAAGAATGAACTAATTAAATTAAATTAAGTGAAACGAAACTATATGAAATATTGTCCATCATTATGATCACCTGGACACAAAACATAAGGGCCTACTCACACTATGCTATCTGAACCGTGCCCAGGCCCGTTTCCCAGATCGTTTGAGAAGTGTGAGTGCTCTGAATCAGGCTCAGGCAAGGTTCACTTAGCCGGCCCTGGCTCGGTTGGAAGAGGTGTGCCAGAGCGCAGTTCAATTGGTCTTCGGCACGGTACGTTTGTGTGTGAGTGCAAAACATGCCTGAGTCCGAAGCTGGAAGCGAGACGTGACTTTTAAGGGACTGTTTGATACGGATTTATTATTCATTAACACAGCTGCACCTTCAGCAAACCTCCTAATTCCTGCAACACGAGGACTTTATGGTTGTTTTTGAGCGTCAAAAGTGGCTGATCTGTTCAGTGAAATATTTGACTGCATGTCACCGCATCCCCAGTATGCAAATAAACAGCTGCACAAAATCTTTGATGAATAAAATACAGTACAGGTTTTTCTCCTGCATAAAACCATAACATTTCAAATTCTAAATAAAATCTTTCATGAATAAATACAGTACAGGTTTTTTCCTGCTTAACAGTATACACTGCACTACTGTACTGTTGTGCAAATAACAAAGTAAACAGAACCACAGAAAACATAGCTACATTGTCAGAGCAAAAAAGGAACACACTTAAATAGTAACACAACAAAAAGTATTGTAGGATAGAAAAGAACCACAATAAATGTAAATATGAAACACAGTATTTTATTATTATTACAGTGTTGTTATAAGTAATCCTGTATACCACAGATGTGTGATTTACAAACAACAATTAAATCAGCTGTATATGTTTTTTAGTTACACATTTACCTGTATTGTGCACAATTATTAAACAGTGCACATATCGAAGATATCTAAAGATAAGTCTTTCACTCCATGTAAAAAATCCTACACTTTTTCTTTTGTTTTGGCTAAACTTTTTTTACTACATAATAAATAAGGAGATGAAAACAAATAGACTATAGATATGAGAAGTAATGAAATAGTTTCAGAGTACTGTGATGAAATGCTGGTGAAGCATATACAGTTAAAGTCAGAATTATTAGCGCCCCTGTTTAATGGAGGGAAGATTGTTTCAGCACATTTGTAAGCATAATAGTTTTAGAAACCTATTTCTAATAACTGATTTATTTCATCTTTGTCATGATGACAGTAAATAATATTTTACTTGATATATTTCAAGACACTTCTTTACAGCTTAAAGTGACATTTAAAGGCTTAACTAGGTTAATAAGGTGAACTAGGCAGGTTAAGGTAATTAGGCAAGTTATTAAGATATAAGACTATCAAGATAAAAAAAATAGCTTAAAGGGGCTAATAATTTTGTCCCAATATAGTTTTAAAAAAAAATGAAAAACTGCTTTAATTCTTGCCGAAATAAAACAAATAAGACTTTCTCCAGAAGAAAGAATATTATCAGACATACTGTGAAAATTTCCTTGCTCTGTTAAACATCATTTGGGAAATATTTAAAAAAAAAAAAAATATCAAAAGGGGGCTAATAATTCTGACTTTAACTGTAAATGTAAACCAAAAAAATGGGAGACCATTGTGTAATAATTTCTAAACCTACAATCAGTGAATATGAGGTGGTTTCACTTTGGAAATGTGGTATAAATTTGTTTCATTTTGGCGTTTTTAATTGTTGTGAACACATTCAGGTGCTGCTTGTCAATTTGACAAGTCTTATATGTTCATTCTTGCTGCCAATTGCGGAAGAAATGATTGATAAAAGGTTTCTAATAAACCATTGTGACAGCTGCAGGCACTGTGTGACGGGCGTGCACACAAGGGGGAGTCAGATTTTGATACAACACTGGCACTGCATGTTCCTAATCACGTCAATGATGGGTCGTTCTTGAACGATTCGTTTATTTAAAACAAGTCTTTTGTATGACTCAGTGAGTAAATTATTCATTTGTGCAAATGGAGCTCGCGTGCTACCTTGGAGTGGTGTTTCGCACAGGATGCGCATGTGTGGCCTCAAACCATATCTACTTGAACGATATTGGATGATCTCGCATCGTGTTGGGGAATCATATTGGTATATCCACAGAACTCGATATACCACCCAGCCCTATTATGTACTAGAAAATGTGAACTTTGTAGAAACAAAGGAAATAAACCTCATTGCATAACATGTTGATATTTATTTAATTGCTTTAGTATTAACTGTACAAAAATTGACAAAAAAGAACATGATTTTTTGTTTTTTTCCCCTCTGTATTAGATAAAAGATCAGAGAAGTACAGTACAACATGGTCGAAAGTGGACAAAAGATTTTAACCCCATTGAAATAGCAGATTTGGACAAGAATGCATCTCTTGTTTTACCTAAAATCCCATCGACCAAAAAGCAACTAATTGCCCATCGACCAAAAAGCAACTATTACTAAACTAATAGTATTTGTACTTTGTTACTTCCCATCTCTGAATTCAGCAATCACAGAATTACAAATTCTGGATGGACATTTTTTAACAGAACAGTTGCAATTCATTATAGGTCGTGGAAATGCAGCTTTTAATCTTGTGAAAGTGTCATTTGGCTTAGATTGTGAACCCTGTACAGGGTATCCTCTGGGTCTTAAAAAGTCTTAAATGGCTTAAATTTCAAAAACTAAATTTTAGGCCCTTAAAAGTCTTAAATCGACTGAAATATTGTGTTATGTGTCTTAAATAATTTTTTAACAGACTTTAATATTCCTCTGCCCAAGTAAAGCGACACAATCAGGCAGAAATCCATCCAATCACCAACAATCCATCTTAATTAAACCTTTTTTTATATATTTAAGTTTTTTATCGCAAAGAGATACAATTTACAATAGCTGTTTGAAATATTTTACAGTAATTCCTCCAAATAAGTTCCCTAATTCCCAGAGAAAGAAACTAAAAACAATTACACAGTTCCTCATAATAATAACAGAGCAGTACATCCCTTTACGTTATCTTCCATTCATCCAAAAAACTCTTTACAGAAATAAGGGGGAGTAGACATAATATTTATAAATAGGCAAGAAACTTAAGGATTTATTACAGAAACCCTTTAGGTTGAATAGAAGTTATACTCAACCAATTTGAACCAGAAGCCAAAAAATATATATTTTTGATAATTTATGTAATTGTCTTCAAAATAAAGATACTGTTAACAATGTTAAACTGGTCATTTTTTCATTATAATATTATGTTGAAAAAAAGTGTATACAACTAGAGTTTTCTTGTTTTCACCAAAGACTGGAAGATAGGGATGTAGTATCCGTGACGTCACCCATAGGTTTCTGAAGAGCACAAACGAAGCAACAAGTAGGCGTGGCCAACCATCGCCTTTTTGTTTGCATCCACCGGGGGTGACCAAAAGAGGGCAAAGAGGCGGAGCGTCATTGGAGCTACAAACGCCTGCTAGCATTTTGCTTAGATGAGCTTTATTTTAGGAGAAACGCTTAATACTACATTACCTTGATTGTGTACCATATCAATAGTGTTTAGACTTTTAAAAACACTGTTATAATACATTGAGTCACTAAACATTGTTCTTATGAAGTTTTTCTACAGGAGGAAAATGTGAATTACTTCCAAATACTTCAAATATAGTCTGTGTTAGTAAATGCAAGACTATTTATGAAATCCAGACATAACACTGTATGACAACGCTTCAGATGACTATTCTAGAACCTACAGCTAATCAATCTGTCAGATTCTGAGTTCAATACAGTTCTAAAGAAAAATGTAAATGATAATTTACCTTAAATAAAGCAAATACATTTATAGAGATGGTATATAAGTATATAACTTCACTCACCTGGGAAATGAAGGCCACTTGGATGGTTTGTGAGCACGATTAATTGTAGGAAATAATTTCAAAAGGCAACTGACTGTTAAAAGTAAATATAACAAGACAAAATTATGATGAATTTGTCGAGTTCAGAGACTAATCAGCCGGAATCAGCTAGCGAGACCTAGCTGTCACTCAAGTGGCCACACCCTTAATTATGCAGACTTGATATAACTTAATAAAAACAAAATGGATGAGTTATAAAAAAGAAAATTCACCCCATTCACAGTTGTCATGAACGGTAATATTAGATCTATGCACCAAAACCATCTTTTGAACCAGGCATCTTTTTATCAGCTGTTAAATTGGCTAATTTACCATTGCAGTCAGAAAACATCTGGACTTCCTGGAGTCAGCCCCTAAAGGCGACGAATTGCAGTTTAGTTACTTCCGTATTGGCTTCCCGAGGTAGAGTGGGAGGTTGCAGCTTGGTTTTGACACATTGATGTATATTGCTAAAAAAATAATTACGTTTGGTGGCAACCAAAATAAAATCCATTGATCTAAGCGGGTTAAAAATAATCATTAGTGTTTAGCCTTGTGTAAGTCTAAAATGTCTTTCATACTGGTCTTAAAAGGGTCTTTAAAAGACTTGAATTTCACTTGATGAAACCTGCAAATCCCTGCCTGTATATTTTTCATGATTCTTATGCACATATCCTACCCCAAAATTGTACATTTCAACCATTATGGTTGAGTTTCATTGTTTTTTAGACATTGATTGGCTTTGTTTGTATTGACTAGCCAACAGCGAAACGGAGAATGCAAATGCTTGCAAGGTATGTGCACGCGTGGACTGAGTGTGTTTACACATCTTTCTTTTTGTTGCAGATGTGCTCCAAACACGGGACTGATTTCCTGGAGTATAAATGCCGTTACTGTTGCTCCGTGGCTGTGTTCTTCTGCTTCGGGACAACGCATTTTTGCAACGCTTGTCATGATGACTTCCAGAGGATGACCAGTGTCCCAAAAGAAGAGCTGCCTCATTGTCCTGCTGGTAAAATGCTTTAACACCAATTTGTGTTTTGTTTTGTGTGAAACTCATGTTCTCCTGTTGAATTATTCCTTCGTTCAGTTCTGTTTTCAATTATTCCTTTTAACTAACAAATTGGCAAAACAGAATGTTGACCTGTTTTTCCATTCTTTCCACACAGGACCAAAAGGAAAACAGTTAGAGGGAAGCGAGTGTCCCCTGCACGTGGTACATCCTCCCACTGGAGAAGAGTTTGCGCTGGGGTGTGGTGTGTGTAGAAATGCACATACCTTCTAAACAAACAACAACACTGGGGTCCTGTGTTGATCTCTCTAAGTATATATATATATATATTCACCCCTCTGTGGCGGCCGATTTCCTCTTCAGCTCAGTCTGAGAGCAGATATACTGGACGCTCCATCCCAAGGGGGCTGTGACCAATCACCTTGCTCCAGGGTGCATCCTCCCTCTCTTTAGATGCTGAAGAATTAAAAAAAGAACAAAAACATTTATTTAAAAAAAAAAAAAAAACGTGACGTGTTTGCATGCAGCCGTTGTAACCCTAGCGGCTTGTATAAACGTTGCACACCTCCCGACCACTGAAGTGTAACAATGTATGGAGGACTTTTGGAACTGAATTCAAGAGCACCGTGGATGGGCCGTGATTTCAGCTTCTCGAATACAAATTAAAGATTCTATTGTTGTATGTAAACTGAATTTGTTTTGGTAATCTTGTACAGTATACCTTCACTTTGGAGTGCAACATGGTTTGACGGCTAAAGATTCAAAACAAAAAAACATGCTATAAGAGGACTTTAGAATGTCATGCTGGAGGAAAATAGTGTACGATTTATCTAATCTTGTATATAATGTCAGTAACCCCTTCATATGTGTATTCCAATGTTGCTACTCTACACTTCAGTTTGGTTTGATAATTCTGGGTTATGTTTTGAGCCAGAACTTTTAATGAAGTGCAATACTGGGTGTGCCTCCTCGCAGATGTAAACATATGGAATGTATGTCAATAAAAGCCACTGTACATTTTTATACAGTGATAAACACGCTGTCGTGTTTCACCCATTCCCCTCCCCGGCAAGTATGATATCATTTCTGTAGTCAGAACGTTATCGAGGGGCTTATTGTCTGCGGTGTCTGCCCTTTTTGTCTCAATGATGTGGTTTAAACCCCTTTTTTCCTGTCATGAAAAAAAATATATCTAAAGGTGAGTATGTTCTGCTTTTGTATTGTAAGAACAGCACTCTTTGGGGCCAGTCTTCACACCAAATCAAAGCAACGTGAGGCAACATAAGAGATATATTAGAAATTGTGGCTATTTAGTGGTTGTTTTGGAGGCATATGGGAGGATATTTTGGAGGTGTGATAAACAGCTGCTGTAGAAAAAAAAAAGTAAAAGAAAATTGCAACTTGTGAATCTGCTTTGTATTATTATCTGTGGATGGAGCTGAATGGTAATAATAAACCGGGTTCTCTGTTCAGCAAGGTACATTACCAAAGATGTGTCTTTGTTCTTTTCTTATCATTATTTATTTATGAAACATGCAAGCAAAATAAACTGAATCCCAACAAAAGACATCATATAGGCAGGGCTCGGCTTGTTTTTAACAAGATACACCTGAGGATTGTTCTTTCTTGTAATACTTTCAGTATTTTCACATTTATTTGGATAGGTTTAAGTTTACCTATTAACCTTCTATTGTCTAATTAACTATTGCATCCATTTTTCATGTAATCTGTGTGTGTGTGTGTGTGTGTACAGAAAGAATGATAATAAATGAGCTCGCTACAAATTTATGACTCTGATGGAGGCACAAAATCAGTTTCAGGGACCTTTACGTGACTGTTCCCTGCTGTACTGAGCCATTTTTTAATAACACTTCTACAGACTAATCTTTTGCATTAACACCTTAGCTAACAAGCTAAATTCTCTCTTTATTTCATTGAAAGAACTGTATTATTACTTTTACTGTGTTAAATGAATCAGGATTCATCATACTACTTACAAACAGTTCATTTGTTTTGTTAGACTGCTACTATTGTTCTCATTTTGGGCAAAATCTTCTTCTAATTCAGTGCAATTAAATGTAGATCGAAGCTTTCAAACCAAGGGGTTAAAATGTTAATAAATCAATATAGTTGAATAAATTCAAAATAAACTCAATTAAAATAAGCTAACAGTAATAAAGCAATACAAATTTGTAAAAATAATAATTAGATTAGTTTACTTATATTAACTGAATAAGTAAATGTGTTTATAGTTTAATGGAACATATTTTCACAGCATAATGCATAAATATGGTATTAATAAAAACTGTGTGTGTCCGTGTGTATCAACCACTCGTTACAATTGAGGTATGCAGAAGAGCATCTCTAAACACAAACCTTGAGGCAGATAGGCTACAGCAGCAGAAAACCACACCAGATGCCTGTCCTGTCAGCTAAGAACAGCTAAAATTTGCACAGGCTCACCAAAATAGGACAATACAAGATTGAAAAAATGTTCCCTGGTCTGATGAGTGTAGATTTCTGTTGTGACATTCGTATGGTATGGTCGGAATTTGGCATAAACAACATGAAACCATGAATCCATCCTGCCTTGTATCAACGCTTCAGGCTGCTGGTGGTGGTGTAATGGTGTAGGGAATATTTACTTGGCACACTTTGGGCCCATTTGTACCAATTTGACATTGTGTCTATGCCACAACCTACCTGAGTATTGTTGCTGACCTTGTCCATCTCTTAATGACCACAGTGTACCCATCTTCTGATGGCTACTTTCAGCAGGATAACTCACCATGTCATAAAGCGTAAATCATCTCAGACTTTCTCAGGTTTCTTGAACATGACAATGAGTTCTGAGTTGGGATGCAGCAATACACTTTGAATTTCTACCGAATACCAAATAAATGTTCATAGGCATACTGGAATGTACAGTATCTGTGCATCATGATGGTGGTCTTAAGAGATCTTCATATCTGCTTTTTTTCCAGCCTCTTTGTTCCAAATAATTTTTCTTCAAGGACACTATAGTTGTGCCTTATGTAGTACCATGATCAAAGACATTGACAAAACAAAACATTTTAGTATAGTACAGGGAAAAACTTGCAGGTTGTAATAATCAATGAAATAAAGTTGACAGTATGTTTCAAATAATTGTAAACCAACCTGTTCTTTCTTTAGGTGTATGACGGGCGATCATCGTCCTCATCTGTCTGCAAGAAATCAAGCTTGTGGATGTTTGAGTAGAGCTTCCTCATATGTGTCAAACGATCGTTTTACCATCGTTTTACTATCGTTTTAATATGATTTTCATTTTACTATTGTTTAACATCATTTTACCATGGTTTTACTATAGTAGGCTAAAGTAACCTATAGGTAAATAAAACCATGGTAAAACTATGTTAAAACGATAGTAAAACATTATTAAAACGATGGTAAAACGATCGTTTTTCGTTTTATAACCATCGTAAAACGATAATTTTACCATCGTTTTACTATTGTTTTACCATCTTTTTACCATTGTTTTACCATGGTTTTTAATACAGTTTAGCTATAGTAAAAGCATACTAAAACCATAGTTAAACTACAATTTACTATAGTATAAGAGTAAATTAACAGTAAAACGATGGCAAAACAATGGTAAAACGAGGGTAAAACAATGATTTTACTATCGTTTTACCATCGTTTTATTATCATTTTACCATCGTTTTACCGTTGTTTTACCATCGTTCTACAAGGGTTTTAATATAGTTTAACTATAGTAAAAGCATACTAAAACCATAGTTAAACTACAGTTCACTATAGTAAAACAGTAAAGTATTAATAAAACCATGGTAAAACGATGGTAAAACAATGGTTAAACGATGGTAAATCAATGGTAAAACGATGGTTAAATGATGGTAAAAGAATGGTTCACTATAGAAAAACAGTAAATTAATAGTAAAACGATGGTAAAATAATGGTAAAACAATGGTTTTACTATCGTTTTACTATTAATTTACTGTTTTTCTATAGTGAACTGTAGTTTAACTATGGTTTTAGTGTGCTTTTACTATAGTTACAGTTTTTTACAATGGCTATGACAGCTTTTTCAATACATTTAACAAGTTTGCTAAACTCTTAACGCAGCAACACACCTAAAACACACAATTGGCAAAACAGTTAATTTCATGCTTAATATCACACATTGTAAACTAAACCTCTAAACTACTTTTCAAAATACAATAATAAACTAACACACTACACCATGTTTAACAAAACACTGTAAACATGTTTCAAAATGAAATTATTGTTCAAAACACAAACACATGTTCTCTTCCAACAGAAACATTTAGTCAATCAGAACATACTGACAATAAAAACACTAGCATCAGCTGACATTACAGAAACTGCGTTAGTTTATGTGTCAGCTCTGCCCTTATATTTGAAGACTCTCTACATTTTCATTTTGTTGGGTTTAGTAAATGCAGGCATTTTCTTTCTTTTACTGCAAAAATTCAATACAAAAATAAAGAAAAAAATTGCTTTATAAAATGTACAGTTTATGTAAAAAAATACAGACAGAATTGCTGCAGTCCAGAATTTATTTGCAAAAGGACATCACTGCAAGATATACAAACAGAAAAAGCACTGCAATTATAATTAAAAAACAAAATAATTTTCTATTCTGCCTGGTCTTCTGCATTTGCCCGACTTCTTCTCTGGCCCGGCATGGTAATGATGGCCTTTTGGCCTATTATGTTTCTCCAATGGCGACACCTTTTCGCTAAGTTAAAGCCAGCCTCGTCAACATAGATAATTTCATGTGGGACTTGATTGACCTCCAACTTGATGACTCTTTACTGTAAAAGTAACTAGACACAGTGTAAATGCTTTACTGTACTGTATAACTAATGTATGTACTAATTAACGCCAGGTCATTAGTATATATATATACATATACAGGGAATATATTTGTGTTTCAATTGACAGTATGAACATCTGTTCACTTTGGCTTTAGCCTATATAGGTTCTGTTTAGAACATGGTGTTATCTGTTCTGACATACTGTGTGAAAGCATTGGTAAAATGAACTGTAAAATTACATTGATTTGGTTTTGGTTGAATGCATTTTGGGTGCATTTTGTGTCAAAGCAACAAGAAATGTGTTAATTGTATAGCCCACAAAGACGGATGTTGTGCAAACCGTGTTAAGAGTTTAGGAAACTTTTTAAATGTATTGAAAAAAGTGTCATAGCCATTGTAAAAAACTAAACTGTATTAAAACGTGTGGTAAAACGATAGTAAAACAATGGTAAAACGATAGTAAAACCATTGTTTTACCATCGTTTAACCATTGTTTTACCATGGTTTTACTAAAACTTTACTGTTTTACTATAGTGAAGTATAGGGTAACACTTTATAATAACTTCACACTATAAATCATTTATTAAACATTAGCAAATAGTGCATTCATTATCTGTTAAGCATCAACTCTACATTAATAAATGTTAGTAAGCAGTTTATAACTGCAGCTACAAATATATTGTGTTTAATAATTGTACTTTCATACTTGGTTAATGATTTATTTTTCATTACTAAATTAAGTATCACATTATTTACAAACCATTTGTATTTAAGAGTAGCTGAGGCTTTTTAGGATCATTCAGAATGAGTTAGTAAATGATTAATAAAATATTGAAATCAACATTTATATATCTTATTAATCAGGCATATAATAATGGTTACAATGTATGTTAATAAATGCTTTATTAACTCAACTTCACCTAGTTTTGTGACCTAATGTAAAGTGAGGATTATTCATGCTTTATAAATCCCTTATAAACAACAAATAAAGGCTCAGTTAAATTCTAAACAGGAAAAATGACATTCATTCCTATTCATTTAAAGATACAAACATAAAAATGTACTTCAAATTTTAAAAAAAATCTTTGCAACCTTACCTAAAATAAAATCACTATAGAGTTTAAACATTGCATCTTACTATATTGTTACATTATTACATTGTTGTTGTTTTATCCAGTTTTATGTGGTATTTGACACTCCTGTTATTCAGCAATGTTTAAACTTTACAGTAATTTTACTTTTTAAATAAGATGTTGCTTTACACAATGTTTATTTTTATTATATTTGTATTATAAAATAGAATCATTACTGGGCACTACATTGTTACTTGCTGGAGGACAAAAGATACCCTTTTCTGCCTTATACGATGACACCCTACCTGCAGCCTGACCCAGAGGAAATCTCAGTGACCCAAGCAGACAAGAGATGGAAGAGTGCTAAGAAATATAATTTGTCAAAAAACTGTTTAATCAAATAGTTTGGTCTGTTCATTTCTTCATTTCCTGAAATAAAATGAATGATTTTGTACACTGCTTTATACACGCACCTTTCAACGTGTAACATATTTTTCATATACATTTCTCACCTTAAGGTGATGCTCATGTGACTTTATTTATCTTTGAAGATGGACCTTATACAGCTACTTTAGA